TATAAAAAAATTATAAAGATTGGTTAAAATTTGAATAATTTTTATTAGAAGCAATTATTAATTTTTATATTGAGATACAGATATTTTTGCACCAACCCATATATAACTAAATAAAAAATTATAAAATAAAATAAAATAATTTTTATAAATTATAAATATTTTTATTTATTTAATTTTTTAAATATAAATATTTATAAATACTTTCACTTATTAATCTATTTATTGCTTTATTAATAAAAATTTTAGTAATTAAAAATAATTATTTACAAGAAATTAAGCTTATTCGAATTAATAAATGATTTTATACTAACTTAAATAATTATAAAAATTTTATTTTAATATATTTTTCATTATATTAATAGTTTTATATTATCATTATATAAAGATAAATTTAATAATATAATATTTGATTATTTTATTATATAAAAGAAATTATGTTAAATATTATAAAGATTGATCTTTTTTAAGTTAAACTTGAATTTATAATTATTATAAAGGTTAATATTATATTAGATCAAAAATTTCTTTAATAAATTTTTCTAAAAAATAATATTTTTTATAATATAAATCTAAAAATATATTATATATAATATTTTATTAATATATTACTAATAATTTTATACTTTATTATATATTATTATAACTATTTCTTTAATAAATCTCTATTATTATAATTTCTTAAATTAAAATATATATTATATAAAATAATATATATTTAAGTTATAATAGAATAATTTTAAACAGATAATTCTTTATAACTATATTAAATTGCTTAATAATTTTATAATATTTCTAATTTAACTCGGTTTAATTGATATTAAATATAATTATTTAATAAAAAATATTATAAAATTAATATATTAAAATAAGTTTTAAGAATTTAAACATATTTTAATATATAAAAGTTGAATTTTAATATATTTTTATATTAAAAATTATAGAAAAATGCAATACGGATAAAAACAAAAACAGACATAAATTACAGTATAGTTGAACCTCGATATAACGAGCATATAGTAAATTCACGATATAACGAAATTTATTTCAGCCCTTTATATTAAATAAGTTAGTAAAACCTTATATGACGAATTTTGAAAAATTTGGAACTTAACATACCTCAGATTTTACGCTTCTCGCTGTTGATCCGGATCACTCCTTGGCAAATCCACCATTTTATCATGATCCAATCACGATTGGCCGAATGACACTGGAAATACAGTAACTCACAAAAGAAACGCAACACGGAAAAAAAACGGCGAGATACGAATACCTCGCCGTAGGGAGAACCTGGGCTACCAAAAGGTGAGTGTATTGATGATATTAAAATTTATTCGCTTCTATCTTTTGATTAAAGATGTATTAACTTTTTTATCTTTTTTTAGCGTTGCACTTATTACGAAGTGGACGGAAGGGCTATATAAAGATAAGTACAAACGCTTTTGATTGTTTGTAAATTAAAAAATAAATCTTCACATTCTAACAAACAAACTGTTCCATTTTTACAATTATGCCTAGCATCCCTATAGAGAAACGCGCCCATATACTGTATACACGCTCCGGAAAAAAGGATATTTGATGCGGGAAATTGCAGCATCGGAACAAGTGGACCCAGCCTTCGTCTGCCGGATATGCAAAAAGAAGGAAGAGATTGGGAGCTTCGACAAGCAAAAAATCGATCGCCCACCAATCCTCTCCACACGCTACGAAAGAAACGCGTGCCGCTTAATCCATTCCGGAGAATGTTCCATCGAGGTCCAACGAGAGCTTAAAAATGAGTTGGACGTTGACCTTTCGGTAGAAAGCATACGACGTATGCGCCGTAGGAACGGATTATTCGCTCATATAAACGAAAGAAGCCTTACCTCAAACGAACACACAAAAAACGACGGTTGACGTGGGCGAAAAAATACCGAACTTGGACGGCAGACGAATGGCGATGCGTAATTTGGTTTGACGAGATCAAGTACCAAATTTTCGGATCGGATGGCCGAAAGTATTGCTGGAAGAAGCCCGGTGGTCAGTTAAAAGACTAGCATATTACGCCAACCGTCAAATTCGGCGGCGGTTCGATTATGGTTTGGGCTGCGTGATGGGCGACGGTGTTGGCGAGTTGAGAAAAAAATGAATGCTGATAGCTATGTGGAAATCCTAACAAATAATCTTCTAGGTTAGTCTGGGAGAAAGGGCTGGAGGATAGTGATTTTATCTTCCTGCAAGATAATCCCAAAACACGTCTCCGGAAAAGTAAAGCAATGGTTCGCCGATAACGAGATCACTTTGCTAGACTGGCTATCCCTGTCTCCTGACCTAAACTTCATAAAAAATTTATGGAATGAGGTAGATATGCGGATGAGCAACTTCCTGGACCATTTTTAATCACAGAACAGTTGTGGAAAAAGTTGCAAGTGGCATAGATCTCGATTATTGTTCCAAACTGTACCAAAAAAGGATTAGTGAGGTAATAAAAGCGAAGGGTGGTGGTTATATAGAATATTGAATAAGGTTAGAAGTATGTAGTGCGAAAAAAATTTAGTTAGAAATTCGCCCTCCTATCTCACCTTCCATTTCGGACATAATTAGAGCAACACTAAAAGTAAAAAAATTAGTGTAGCGTTAATTAAAAGACAGACGCAAATCAATTTTGATATCGCACCTTTTAGTTTTCCCAAATTTTCCCTACGGCGAGATATTTGTATCTCGCCGTTTTTTTTTCCGGTGTTGCGTTTCTTTTGTGAGCCACTGTATCTATGAGAAAAACCAGGAAACTGGAGATTATATAGATATATGGTAAGTCCATAGTTGCAGTCATTAATTCTGGCGTCTGAACTTCTTCTCACATAGTATTCACCCACAATTGGCTATGGTAATATATTAACCTTATTGTGCGCCTCTGCCTCTCTCTAGATGCTCCGATGTCACGCACCACTAGAGCTTCCGCAACGCTATGAAACGAGCCCAAGAAAGCGCACAAAATAGCTGTATTGTGGTTTGCTCGTACTTTTGATGTAATAATATTGCTTTAGCACACAGATGTATGACGTCGACAAGAAGATTTAGCAATAGGACAATTCGAAAAATGATGAGTTGGACGCATGCTAGGTTTGGGAAACGATTGATATGTAAGATGGAGAAATTGTTATAACGTCCGTGTCAGAAGCATATGGGGTATATTTAAGAGGAATTTGGCTGAAAGTAAGAGTTTAGATGTGATGAATGTAGCGTCAGGGCGTTTCTTGATCGAGCCTTAGTTATGTAACAATTGGTTGTAGTTGACTATAGATTCTATCCACCCGTGAGTAATGCATGTAATAGGATAGCTAGCAATGGTTGAACTCACATCAAATAGTTTTGCGGTTCCATTTTTATAATCGCAATGATTTAGTCACACGAAAGGAAGAAGGAAAAGATTCTAATTTTCAAACAATTGTCTCGAAACAAGAAACGTCAGCATTTGAAATTTACGTTACGATGGATAAATTGGACGATCCAAGAATTTAAACTTCATTTGGTAAACTTACCTAGATCCAATTCTTTTTATTAACGTTAAGTTTAATGTTAATTTAATTTTGACTTTTAGGCAATCACGCTTGGAATGACCAATTTTGACTATTAGTAAATGGCAATCACGTTTGGAATGACCAATTTCGTAATTTTCGATGTAACCATGCAGAAAGGAACAATTAACAACTTGTCTAAATTAGCGTTAGTGTCTTGATATCTTTTTTCACGTGATGTTGCATGTATTGACGGAAAAAAATTTTGTGTGAGTAAAATCCCATTCACATAGATAGACATAAATAGCTCTTTATGAATGCGTTTATTAACTTTAATAATGCTAACTACATGTATATTGTACATGCACACAGAAAACGAAAAGTATCCCACGATGATTTCATGCATAATGTATAAATTTGATAAATAAACAAGCATGATAACAAACATTGACGCGATAACGTGTGTATCATAAAGAATTATGTTATCTGTTTGTTTACAAAGAAATCTGCTCTTAGCTTAAAAAGAATATAGACGAAAAAATTTTATTTACTAGCCCTGGTAAACGAATTCCAGTGAACAATTTGCGGTGATGGCGTGAATATTCCATCTTGTAAAAGATAAAAATTATTTTCAACACCGCCACCTCGATTAGAACAACTGCCGGAGGAAGATTGGTTCCCGTTATCATTTTCGGTAGAATTTGTAGATGGATATTGGAATTTTTTATCATCATCGTCATCTATTTGAATTTTTAAATCTTCATGAAAATCTAAAGGTGTAACGTAATTCAAATCTGACCAAGTAAAATGTGGTGGTAATGGTGATTCATCGAAAGATTCGGGCGTTGGTAAATCAACTACCGGACTCGTTGCCGTAGCAATTTCATAATGGAACGCATATGAATTGATTTGCTTTTGTGATTCTCCAATCGAATTGGACAAATAAGATGACGACGACGAGGAAGAATCCAAAGAATCAAATGACGATGAAAGATGGTACTCTGAGCCAGAAGTTGTTGGTGATGGATGTGATGTTGGCGAGTCAGGTAATAAGTGTCCTAAAAGGTGGGTGGTATTGAATGCATCTTCAAACGAGGCGGAGGCATGAGAGGTAGAGAATGAGATTTCAGGTAAAGTATCATTATATTGAGTATGCATTTGATTGTTGTCGTCATGGCTGTTGCTACTATTATTATATGCATCTTCATTCGATAATGTACGAGTCGAAGGCTCAACTACTGAAAAATTATTTTCCCATATAAATTTTTCATTCCTCGCTCTTGAGTTATTATTTATCGAAGGATAAGGGGAATCAGTGGCAACATTCTCGGAGCTGATGATAGAAGCAAAAATAATTTCCCCGCCATTCGGAGACATGTAAGTTCTCCAATCGCGTTCAGTATCTCCTAACATATTACGACGCATCTCTAACAAAATGGTTGAACAATCCTGCGCAAGTCTACGATATTGATTCTGAACGATTGTTGGTTCCTCTTCCCACGCTTTTGATGCCAATGCAGAAACATCTTGTTGCTTATACTTGAATCCGCTTGCACGCAACACTTTAACAAACTCACGGCGGTAGATTATGAAAGCATTTGGTGGTTTGCTAGGAAAATTGCCGTCTTTTTTCTTTACGATTATGTCTGTTGGTTTCAGGTCTACCGGGAGTGGGACAGAAATGTTTAGATGTGTTGGTGATAATTGCTGTTGTTTTGATGATCTCTTTGCTCTTATTTTTGTTGTTTTTGATTTATTTTTCATATCGATAGCACATTTATTGATGTCAACACTTTTTGTCATACTATTATATATATAATTCGTTTTTAAACAAGAAACTAAAAAAGTTCTCTTTCATTTGAATGAATTGTACCTTAATTTATACCAAAAAAATATTCCCAAGAAAAAAAATTACTATATATAGATATGATGACAAACGTATGAGATGATCGTGAGATTAGTGAAAAAAATGATATCGATAATATACTGGCCAGAAACAGATGGATGGGGACTGTTGGTCGGGATTTCTTTTAAAAGCATCGCCACACTGAAAATTCTCAGGGTTTTACCATTCGTAACACATGAAAAACCCAATGACACAAACGCACAGACATACATACATGTCTAACTGCATGTACATGTATATAGATTATGTTATTTTACATGTCGATGAAAAAGATTAATTTATTCATCTCACATCACATAGGTTCACTTCGCCACTCTCCTTTTAGCATTTTCCAAAATTCGAAGCTTAGTTATCGTCATCTACTTTGAAAGATCTGAAATAAGACTAGCGTATGGCTTGATTTATAGGCTTTGCATTTTTTTCGGTTTTTCGCGAAAATTTTGTATTTTTTCGGAATTTTCACAAGATCAAAAAAATTTTTATCTAAACGAGATAGTCTAAAAATGATTTTTATAAAGTATCAGAAGATATAAAAATTTGGTGATTGCGGTTGTGAAGCTTGTTTTTCGTTGAAAGTCAGGTTCCGTAAAAGTAATCTATCTACACACGCGCGCGCCTATGTTTGCTAAATAATTGTTAAATAATTAGATACGTAATTTGATGTCGTCCAGTTAACAATTGAGACGATCGAAAGTTTTTGTTGTCTCAGGTTTCCGTCTAGTTATCAATTGAGACGATCAAAAAATGAAACAAGTTTGATTTCAATGAGATCAAAAATGAATTACACAATATTTATTATATTAATATACAATAATGATAAATGGTAAACAAAAAACAAATATTTGTATTTTTTAATAATTAAGTCGCTGTAGGGGAGACGTATTAGTGTTAATCATCATGGTGAACTAAAAAGTTTCACCACATCTAATTTGTTTTTTGGGGTTTTTCGAAACTTTTATGGATACACGTAATTAGTGAAAACAAAGAAAGTAAATTTAAAAATAAATTATGTTTCATATTCTTTTTCTAATGGAATAAATCACAATTTTTGTCTTTCTTTTTTGTCGGCTTTTATGATCATTATGAATTATATGATAAATCTAACGAGTAAAAAGCCGAATAAATTCTATCTAGTTATGATATTATGCATGAATAAAGCACCATAAAAAAAGTATCGCCAGATTTACAAATGTAACAACTTTAAAATTCATTTAATCAAGTTTTCTCCTTTTTTGCATAATAAACTACATAACGATAATGTATTTGTTTATTTGTTAATATTTGTTAGAATAATGTTTGTATTTAAATATGACGTCCAGAGGTAAGCAACAAAGTGAAACCGAAAAAGGGAAGATTATAGCTTACATGGAAACCACAAATGCTGCATGATATTCAAATTATTATAAAATACCTGCCCAATAATTTTTCTTCATATTCAAATTATTATAAAATACCTGCCCAATAATTTTTCTTCAAATTCGTAATTCTTTAAACAAAAAAAAATCTATTTCGATGAAATAGTTACATTATTACTCAAGTGCTTTTAAAAAAAAACTTTTTTCGCTTAGAAGTTCACATGATGACATCACACTTTTGAGTGCTAAAGGTTTGATTCGTTTCAAATAATGAAAAACCGGTTATCAAGATTTTTGTAGGTTTGTTATTAGACTCTTGCAGACATAGAAATTTACTATTGTTTTAGTTGAATAATTGGCCCTGAATATAATATCCAGACGAAGCTATTTTAGCACAGTGAAATCAGACGAAGGTCGACATACGAAAGTGCCTCACCGAATTGTTTTCAATTCTTTACTAAAAAATCGAATTTTGTAAGATAAATTTATTAACATCAATTATTATAAATATTGACAACTGATAAATGTGATAGCATTTATTTCACTGACGTTGTTAACCAGAATGAATTTTTATTAAGTACTAAAACCGGGTAAAACCGGAATCATTATAGGTTATCCGGAATCGGACGTTCAGTGGCTCGCTAATGAAAAAGTTTTACGAAACAAGTACCTATGCTCACTTTAAAGTTATATCAAAAAAAAATGATTAAACTCTTTTAATTATTGCCATTTTAGGAATCTTACATGTATTTTTAACTATAACTCGAAATATTTTTTGTTTTCGAAAAAATTCTGAAGAGGATTGACTTGATTAAAAAGGTTCTCTTGAGAACTACCTATACAGTGGCTCACAGAAGAAATGCAACACAAAAATTTCCGAAAAAAAATCTAGCGTCTCTAACATCGATTAAATATAGCTGGTTCCTAAACTCATTTGAAAGCTAATAATGTCTAATTAATGATGCCATTATAAAGAAATTGAGTGACCTACATGAATATTTTAATCAGTGAAATTTTAATTCTAAATAGTTTTGTTATCAGGGGAGGATTTATCTAATATTCTCTACATATCAATTTTCAGCTAAATTGGTACCAAATTAGTTCAATTATTAGATAGTAAAATTATCTAACAATTTTTTTATTAATATTAATCTGGTACTTCGGGATCTAATAACTGAGCGAATTTGGTACCAATTTAGGAAAATTGATATGTAGAGAATATTAGAACAATCCGCTCCCTGATAACAAAATTATTTAGAGTTAAAATTCCACTGATTAAAATATTCATGTAGATAGCTCAATTTCTTTATAATGGCATCATTAATTAGACATTATTAGCTTTCAAATGAGTTTAGAAACCAGCTATATTTAATCGATGTTAGAGACGCTAGATTTTTTTCGTAAAACTGAGTTACTAGGTCCCAAAGTTAGTGATCCTAACCGGTTAAAAAATCCTAACCGGTTAATCATTTAACTTTTATGTGGTTAACCGATTATAATATAATTATAACTAACCGATTTTATTAATCATATTTTATTGTATGTTAACAACTATTTAGGAAAAACAGTAAAAATGGTTGAATTTTCTTTCAAAAATAAAAGATCAGAAACTGTTGTTGGATCAAGTCGACTTCGTTTTTAAGTAAGAATATTCCTGCACTAGAAAATAATCTTGCAGATGGAACTGAGCTTGCAGGAATAGACAAAATAATAACGAGCAATTTTTGATAGTTGTGGAAAAGTTCTATGATGAACTTTTCACTATTGAATTGGATCATTTTTTTCAGTTGGAGAAAGATCAGGAAATTCCAAAAAAATTTCTAATCAACTATATTAGTTGTAGATGAAGTAAAAATACCAAAATTTTTGAAAAATTGTAACATAGGAGAAGATTCAATTGTAGATATAGAAGTTTGTAAAGAAAGCTCAGTTCTATGTGAAGGTGCAATAATATTATGTACTAAAGAAAGTACATGTTCTTTTTTTGAAGATGAAATAAAAGATAATGATTTAAAACAGGAATCTAATAAAGATGCTAATAATTAAAAATCTTGAGGATCATTCCAGTATCTTTCCATTGATTCTAAAATAGAATTATGAATTTGTATAATTATAAAACAAGTAAGTTGCTGAGTTTTATATCACACATATTGAAAAAGACTTTTAATTGTAGGATAAAGAATAGATATAGTTGAATAAGTTATATACTCAAAAATTTGTAACTTGTTCAAATGGTCAAAGAACAAATACTAATTCTTTTAATATTTTTTCAAGTATCTCTTGTCAAATATAAGATGATCAAGATATTGTCATCTTTGTAAATATTACCTTCTTACATTGCTTGATATATAGATTAAATTGCTTATTTTAATACAAGAAGTTATTCAAGAACTTTATAAATAAAATTTTATCTAATATTAATATTTCAAATTAGAAAAGATAATTTCTTGTTAGGCTAAAGAGCTTTTTGAATTTGTAAAAAATAATTTTGATATTTATTATAATGAATAAGAAAAGATTAAGTACTTTGATCTTTTGTAATAATTCTTGACTAAAATCAATTCAAAGTTTATTAGAAACTGTCAAAAATTTATAATTTTTAATTCTTAAAAAGACTTTTAATATTTTTTTTGTTATTATTATTTATACTAATAAGAATTTATTTTTGTAAATTAATATACTAATAATTAAGTATATATTATAATTTGATAATTATATTTATATTAATATAATTATAAGATATTTCTTTAATAAAAAGTAAAGCTTATAGAAGTTCAAAATTTTTAATAATCTATAAACAGTAATACTAATATAAAATTGATAAAATTTGATTTATAAATCAGTTATAAAACTTATTTTTGCTATAAATTTGTCAAGAATATCAGCTAAAACTTGTTATAAGAACTTAATATTTTAAGTATTCATAATTTTAATTATATTATTACAAGAAATTTAGTATTATAAATATAATATAATATAAAAAATCTTGAATTTCTTGTTATCTAACAAGATAAATAATTATAAATTATTAATTCTAAATTCTAAAGATAAAAATTTGCTAGTTCTTATTTATTTTTTGAAAAAATTTATTATTATAATACTCTCTTCTATAATTTATTATCCTATTTAATTTTAATATAATAAAATATTTTTAATATAAGATAAATATATAAGAAAATAATAGTACTTAGAGAAAAAATTATATTATATAGTTACTTTATATTTTTTAATTCTTATCAAATTACTTTCATATTTAAACTTATATTTTTTATTTTTATTTTATTTACAAGATATTTATAAAAAAAAGATAAATATATATTTATTTTTAATTTTTTTAAATATTTTAAAATTATATTTAATTATTAAATTTAAAAGTATAATAGAATTATTATAAATACAAGTTATTTATTAAAGAATATTAAATTAAATAAAAATAAAAAAAGAAAATAATATTTATCAATATTAAATTTATTAAATATATAATTAATAATTACAGTAAAATCTCTCTAAGTGTACTTTCTTGAGAACTGATTATAAATATA